ATAACGAGAATAAGATTGTAACGATAAAAAGAACTGCACTATTAAAAAAAATATATATATATATTAATAGTGCAGTTCTTTTTATCGTTACAATCTTATTCTCGTGTTCCAAATGCTGCATTTAAGGGCGCTAGGAAGCAAAATAATATTTTAATCATTAATATATGATATCAAAATATACTTAATATTATTTACTAAGTTTTATTATTAGTTGTTATAATGTTTCATGGCACAAAGGTAGAGCGAGAAAGGAAAAAAAAGTCTCAAAATACGCCCAGCACGTTCTTCGCTGTTCTTAATGAGCTTTTGGGATCACAGAGAAGGACCTCCTCTTGCCTAGAGCGCCTCCTCCCCATTTCCCAGGTCGCGATTGGCCGCGAGCAAGCTCCTTGGGCACCCAATCAGCGAAACTTCCGGTCCATCGACATCTCCCCCGGGGCTTCAGGGCAGCTGGGACTTCCGCCCGCAGGCCGTACGCGACGCGATTCCTTCTACCCCCTCGCGGCTCTGAGTCAAGATGGCGTCAGAAGCGGCGTCAGCACGTGACAGGAAGCTAAATTGTTTGCTCCCCAGCTTCCGCTTCCTGTTTTCCCTTCTGCCGCCTGCGTACCTGACCCCCCGCCCGGGTGCCGCTGCGAGGCCGTTCGTGTTTGGGTTCGGTTGATTTCGGAGGCCGCGGGCGGGAGGGGCCATGAAGAAGTTCTTCCAGGAAATCAAAGCGGATCTGAAGTTCAAGACGGCAGGCCCGGGCCAGAAGCTCAGCGAGTCGCCTAGGTAACCGCCCCGCCCGTTCTGGACGGGGGGGAAGGTCCCGGTCGCTTTCCCCAACCTGGCGCCCGCGGAGGGGCTTGGGCTTCATCGACCCCACCCGCCTCTTTCCCAGCCCTGGGAGTTGCCGCCCTCCATCCTGGGCGGACTTAGGTGGGGGGAAACGGAGTAAGAATGATGAGGGGACGGGCGGGCTTGTTAGCGATGGTGGACCTGGAAGACCCCTTGAGGTCATCCAGTCCACCCCTCGCCCAGCGCAGGAACCCAAATTCAACAGACGGCTGTCCAGCCCCCGCCTGAAGACATCCGAGGAAGAGGAGCCACCAAATGCTCCTGAACTAATTTGCTTTTTCATTAGGTTTCATTAGTTAAGAGCACCCCGTTTAAGGACGACCCATAGTTAAGAAAGGAGCCCACTGTAGCAAAATTTGAGCTAAATACATGATGATTCGAGTTAAATACACAATGGTTCGAGTTAACTGCACAATAAGTATTACTTATACAGTGTTACACAATAATACTGTTCCGACTTACACACAAATTCGATTTAAGGACAGACCTTGGGAATGGAACTCGTCCTTAAACTGGAGACTCACATTTTAAGCTGCCTATGGTGGAGGTAAAGGCTAGAAACATCAAAACAGGATCTGCCTCTCTCTCTCTATCACTAGCCAACAGCAGTAGATAACAAAAGAAAATGTAACTGTCAGCCCTTTGAGGCAGACCAGACTCGAACACCAGCATCATGAATACTAAAGCTACTTTTATTATAGGGTTACCATAACAGAACCTTGCAACTCTGAATGGGCCTCTCCCCTGTGTGCCTTTCTCCAAAAGAGAAGAAGGGGGGTCCAGTCTGAGACGCTTTCTCAAATTCCATTCCTGCTTTGGAGTCCGATTGCCTTGGGTGGGGCTCTTCCTCAGGGTTGTTCTCGCAGCCCACTACATCAACGTCCCCCAACGCTCTCCTCCAGAGCCCCACTCTGTGGAAAGTCAGGAGGGGGGCAAGCAGTTCCTCAGGAGGGGTGACACCACTGAAAAGGCCCCCTCTGGGCCCATGAGGATGGATTCCTCGGGAGATGGGAGCCGCAGCACGGCCTCCCTCCCAGATCGCACGCTACAAGCAGGCGGTCCTAGGGCTCTAAAGGTGATAAACCAGCATCTTGAATTGTAAAGCGTCGCAGGGCAGAAATCCAGCCTCTGCTTGAAGATCTCCACCAAAGAGAGCCCTCCGTTGTCTCCGCTTTTTGAACTCATCCCGGGCAGCAGGTGGCTGTTGCGCCAGCTGCCGCCCTTCCTGAGTCACATAGGGGTTACCAATAGGTTTCTGAGTGTGGTTGAAAGTGATTTCAGGATCCTGTTGTTCTACTTTACTGCAATCGAGGGCATTTCTGGAATAGTGGCCGGGCCTCTTTCTGAACCTGGCCTACCTCAAAGGGCTGGCATCCATCTTGAAAGCCTCTCAAGTTTCTCTCTTGTCCCATTGAATACCAAGCAAAATCAAGGCGGGGTTGAGTTTCATTCTCACGCCAACCGCTTTCTTAGGAGTGTGAAATCTCTCTCCCCCTTAATGGCTCGCTCATTCCTTCCCTATCCCCTAGGTCAGCTTTACATTCCTTTACAGCAGCACGATTTGGGGCGGACAAAAAATTCCACAGGGGTAGCTGAAAAGGCCAATGTAGAGCAATGACCGTGGCCAGAAGACAGTAATCCGTCAATCCATGCGGTCCAGAACCTGACCTGCCCCAGCTCTTGGCCTCGGAAGATAGTCCCCCATGGTTCACTTCAGGTGGTCTTTGCAAATGACACAAGCTGCATGCCACGTGGGGCAACTTGACATGGGCTTGCAGAATGCCTCCCAGAGAGGGGTGGGATTTGGTGGCTTATCAGATAGCAAAACATAATTGGGGGCCGGTGACCCTTTCCTTGCCTCGGTCACACAAGCACTTCATCTCTGGTCATTATAAACCTCTCCCGTTTTTGAGTGTGTAGCCTGGAGAGAGATGACAGAAGGACCTGCCTGAGATGAATCCTTTTTCCTTCCTCTTTGGGACGCAGAACCCCAAGCTGTGCTGGAAGTGGCCTCTTGGAAATGAGAATGGAAGCCTTAACCTCTGAGCCCAGAGCCCTCAGAGGCTTGAATCCAGCTGGCGTCCTGGGTTGCTAGGAATTGAAAACTAGACTGCACAGGGTGATCCTCTGGCCCTTTATGATGCTGTAGGGAGAGGTGTGACATTGGGGGGGGCACACGGGCTTGGGGAGGGGCCACACTGCATTAGCTTCTTTGCTCAGCCTGCACATGCCAGAACGAGCTACAGGCACCAACGTTATGTGCCCCCTTTTTCTCTGTCCTTGCTATTGGAAACTGTCCCGTGATTTGGCAGGGATTGCCTCCTCTATATGAATAGGTTTGTATTCTTCTCTCCTTCCTCTTGCACTTCTAAGAAAAAAGAAAAGGAGGGCTGCATTAGTCCTGAAGGATTTTGTACAGAAGAATCAGAATGACAGAATGGAAGGTTCGGGTGATCCAAACCTTGTTCTCTTTTATCCCTGAAAATAGGAAATGGAATCTTGTATTACAGGACTGTAGATTCCAATCAAATATTAGAAACCAACCTCCTGAAAGAGTGAAATGAAACTAGTAACACAGAGCTGGTTTCCCTTCCCTGGATGTGTCAAATGGAGGTTGCCATCATTTGGATTCTTGGCCTCAGTAGGTGCTTCTGCTCGCAGATTCTGTAAGGCAAATGATCCCTCTCTGTACCTTTAAGGCCTTGTTCTTTCCTGCAGGGTGGATGGTGGCCCACGGAAGTGGCTTTGGGATTTATCGGCCTGTTTCAGATAACACACGACAGGATAGCCTTCGGGCTCTGGTTTCTCTAGAAGTTTGGGGTGGTAGAGGTGATCCATGAATGGGAAGCCAGCCTCACTGGCCTGGTTAGCTGCTCCCTTCTGGATTTCTGGTCCAAGCCTGAGAGTTTGAACCCTGTGGGAGCCCTGAGCCCTCTTAGGATTTTCCTTCTGGTGGATCTGCTGAGTTTCATCTCTTCTTCGCTGAAGGAGTATGTGATGATGTCCTGTGTTAGCTGAGATATGGTGGAACTTTTATTTTTCTCAATTTTTAATTATTCTCTTAATGGAAGTAGAGCAAGTATCTTTTGTCAGAACTGTAGAAGGGTGGAATGGAAATCAGAGATTATAAGAACAATCTCAACAATGTGGAGATTCCCAGCTTCTCACTTTTGCCATCCAATTGTTCTCCCACAGGGAAAAATCCAAGGAAAAGCCCAAACCGGACCCTCCCAAATGTCGCCAAGGGCCCACCAACGAAGCCCAGATGGCTGCAGCCGCCGCCTTGGCCCGGCTGGAGCAGAAGCCCAAAGCTCGCCCTCTCTCGTCCCAAGATGCCATCCGGAATCAGGGTGAGGGGGGAAATGGTCAGAGGAGCTGGACAAGAGGCAGCAGAATTACAGCAGCAGAAATCTTTCAAAAACTTGGCCTCTTGGTTCTGAAGCAGTTGGCAAAGCCTTGGTCTGCTTCATCCTGGTTGATTGAATAAATCAACAGTCGTTTTCCTGCAGTGATGGAGGGTTGCATGAAATATGGATATTGATCACACCTGGGGTGGTTATGGGACATTATGGACTTTAAGGAATTATGTGATATAAAGTTTTATGCTCATTATTTTGGCCAAAAAAAAAAAAAAATTGGGGAGACTACCCCTCAATGATTTTGGCAGATTTTGAAGCTGGAAGTGTTATGGTGGTCATGAAAATGAGGCCAGGAGTTTTATGCAAGCCACAGGTCACCTCTCTGCATTAACCACAAGCCATGGCGTGGGAACCACAATGGCTGATCACATAACAGCTAAGCCGGCAATTATGCTTTAGTGGAACTATTTAGGAACATAGGGACAGATTATTAGACTTTAAGGGTGGGAAAATATGAGTCAGGCATGGGAGGTTTTTGTATCTTGCTGTGCTGCAGGATACCAGAACCAGGCTAAAATAGGCACCCTTGGATGGTCACACTTGGATTTAATTTTAATAATGTAAACTCCCTGTATAGAAATGCTGAATAATTTGCTTCCTCTGTTCTAAATCTCCCTCTGTTATTTATCAGTCTATTTCCTTTTCTGCTTCAGTGAAAAAAGAGCTTATGGCTGAAGCGGCTGCAAGTGATAAGGGGATGCCTGTGGATCAGAAGGTAAGGAAATGGAGAGAAGTGGCTGGATTTCAAATAATGGGGTGCTGTCGAGGCATCCTGTTTTAAGGGACCCTTGTGGTAGAATAGCCTGTTTGATTGGGTAGTAGGGCACCCACGTTTTCTGGGGGGTAAGGTGGGAAAGGGCACCTCTTTTGCATGCAGACAGAATGTATCTCCAGGTCAGAAGTAAAGGGTGGATCTTCTCTGCTCTAGAACTGGATGCCTTCTGCTGGTCCAGATAATAGTAGCCTAGCTCAGGGGTGGCCAACCTGCAGTCCTTAAACCCTACACCTTAATGCTTCAGCTCACAGTGGGCACAACTGCAGAGAATCAGAAGCAGAAGTTTCCACCGTGTTAAGGTTGGAAGCCCATGAAGACGGTTGTTCAAGCTGTATAATAGCTGATCACAGCTTAAAATACAAAGATGTTGTATTTTAATGTTGTATATACAAAATGTTCTCCCCAAAAAATCCGGGAAAAAAATCAGAAAGTTCTGTACAGTACTTGTCCACAGGAGCAATAAGGCCCTGCCTACCAGGCGTCACTGCCTTGGCCATTCCTGGGCTACAGCAGTGTTTCGCAACCTGAGCAACTTTAAGATGTGTGGACTCCAACTCCCAGAATTCCCCAGCAGCATTTGTGGACTTCAACTCCTAGAATTCCCCAGCCAGCATTCTTTAAGATGTGTGGTCCAACTCCCAGAATTCTGGGAATTGTAGTCCACACATCTTAAAGTTGCCGAGGTTGAAAAACACTTTATAGCACCACCCAACCATAGCTGAAACATTACTGTTACCTGGTACAACAGTGGCCGGATGCCTCTAGAACAGTGGTTCTTCAAAGTTAAGTGTATGTACCCAGGGAGTTTGCAAGATGATCCACTGGGATGCAAGAAGTAAATATTAGAATGTCTATTTATATTTATTTTTAGTTATATAAATTTATTAAAAAATAAATTTTATTATTAAATTTTATTTATTGAAAAATAAATTTTAAAAAAGTAGAACAAAATTAAGCAAATGCTAATACCTAATATACAAATATGTATATAGTATGCTTTATTTTATTTATTTCTATTTTATAGTATGCTTTGGGGTATGTTTTTTGTTGTGCATAAGAATGTCAGTATAATACAGTACTTCATGGATATATTTTATAAATAAATAAAGATACATAAAATGCTCAAAAACTTTTGTCTGGTAAAGGGTGCAGTCAAAAATGTTTGGGGACCACAGCTGGCTAGGGAATTCTGGGGACTGAGGTCCAGACATCTTAAAATTGCTCAGGTTGAGAAACTCTGGGCTAGAGGAGCACAGAGTTTGAGCTAGTCCACAGCAGCTTCCAGTGTTCCCGGGGAGACAGAAGACAGTTTTCTTTTGACATGACTTGAAAGATGCTCACACTGTCATCTGATATTTGGCACGGTCTTGTCAAGGGGCTGGAATGCCACAAGCTTCTGAGTCAGCTACCTCTTCATTTGTCTTCCTTCCTGAAAGGAGGACTCATTGAGAAAGAAAGAGATGTGGCTATGATGGGACCTGAGTCAGTGCAGAGTGAGCAGTGCTGGGTCCTTGATGTTCCGCGAGCTTGGCATTTTGTTTGCAAACTCTCCATTACTGTCCATTTTCCATTATTGCAACAAAGGAGGGAATAGAGGCCAAAGGTGTGGGGAGAAACGTTTGTCTCCCCTCTCCCGCGCAAGTGTCTCTATTTAATTCCTTTTTCTTAGAATTCCTTGCCTGAAGTTGAAGAAGATTCTTCTACACTGTCTGTTTCGGGTGTTTATTTCACTTGCCCGTTAACTGGCGTCACCGTCCGAAAAGACAAAAGGGAGATACAGATCAAAAACGCCATCCTCGAGGTAAAACAACTTGTTCCTGGGATTCTGGGCACTGAAACCAGGAGGGATCTCCGCTGTTCTCTTGTCTCACGGGCTGCTCCTCTTCCTCCAGCACACTGCCAGAGATCCAGTGGCTGCATCCATCATGGAGATCCACACATTCAACAGGGACCGGGAGAAGGTCAAACTGGGCGTGGAGACCATTGCAAAGTAGGTGTGGCCTGTTCCGTTCAGAAACATCCTCTTTGTTCCCTGGCTGGACTTTCTGGTGCCTGCTGTTAATTGTGGTTTGACTCCAGTGTTTCCTGAATTAGGAGAGAGGACAGCCCGCTTCTGTGGGATGTCAAGACCGTGGTGGGAAAAATGAGACTGAAGATCAGCCCCTGCTGCCCTCCCCCTCACCCCACTTAAAGGGGTCTGTAGAAGTCAGCAAGCAAACCATGAGTGTCCAGCATTGGTCGTTCGCTAAGCTATTTATTTATTTCACGGTGTTTCCCAATCATAAGACTCTTGTATAGCAGCGTTGTGAGGAGCTGTGCCATTCAGAGATGCAATGTTCCATGAAGTCCTGAATGGCTGCAAAATCCATTTTCTCTTCCTGGCCTTTAAGCACAGAATCAGGGCCAGAGTCTGTCCTCGTCCTTTGCCTAAAAAGGCTCTTTAGTTGCAAGGCTAGGAAGGATCTTGCTCTCTGCTAAGGCAGACGGGCTCAGGTGGTCTGATACCTTTGGGGAGAGAGAGTGAGAGAGACAAGGGAAGTGTAAGATGCCCCAAGTTTAGTCTGCTATTCTGTCCCTGCTTTTGAGGAGCGCAAAAGCCGCACTCAGTGGCTCTGCATGAACTTGAACCGGACCGGGACATGCTGGTCTCAGAGCGCACACAATTTTATTGCCTTTCCTTCTCAGGTACCTTGATAATATCCATCTCCACCCGGAGGAGGAGAAATACCGAAAAATTAAGGTGCAGAACAAAGTCTTCCAGGTGAGCTGGAGCTTTGGGAGTGGGAATGCATTTGCTGGATCTCTCCGGGGGTGATGGCTGTGGATTCTGGGGACTGCATTTTCAGTCTAATGGGAGGTGTCGTGTTGGAGAAGGCTGCTCTGAAGAATGAGAGCTGGCCTCAGAAAGGGTTCAGTGAACTGCAGATCCTCCTTCCAAACTCCCTGGATTCCAGAGGTTCAGTGCATGATGACTGGGACATAAAGTCAGCACTTTATGACTTTATATTGTCAGTATAAAGTTGCAAGGCCTTCCAGGGTTATACGAGTGACAGAAGCAGAAGACCGTTGCCGTTTGGGAGATTGTAGTCTAAAATAGCCAGTGGTGAAGCCAGGAGGGATGAGGGATGGATAAAATGCAAGTCACCTCAATTCTTCCTCCTCCGTTTTGAAGTGAGTCCTCTTGACTAAAGGAGCTTCCTGCTGGAAAAGCGAGAGCACAGCTGCAGCCACAAGCTGTGAAGTGAGATGAGAAAGACAGCAAAATTCTCAAGGGGTAGAATGTATGCTAGTTCTCTGGGTTGTGCGCTTGGCTGGAGGAAGTGGGGAATATCTACGAAAGCTCTACTTTCTATAAAAAGATCTGCAGGAAATGTTCTTGTATGTTAGTGATTTTCCTATAGGAAAATTTAAAAAATAAAACATTCAGGACAGTAGGAGGGTGCCTGGCTCTGGCCCAGAGGCATCTGACGTCCAGGTACTTCCCCACCATCCTTCGCGGCTTGGCTTGTTTTTTTT